AGCCTGGTCTACAGAGTGAGTTCCAGGACAGCCAGGGCTACAGAGAGAAACCCTGTCTCGAAAAAAAAAAAAAAAAAGGGGGGCTGGAGAGATGGCTCAGTGGTTAAGAGCACTGACTGCACTTCCAGAGGTCCTGAGTTCAAATCCCAGCAACCACATGGTGGCTTACAACCATCTGTAATGAGATCTGATGCCCTCTTCTGGTGTGTCTGAAGACAGATACAGTGTATTCATATATAATAAATAAATAAATCTTTAAAAAAAAAAAGTTAAGGATTTGGAGCATGGCTCAGTGGCAAAGAGTTATCTTAGAATGACCCTGGGGTTGACCCACAGGAAAAGAAGTTGGGAGGATGGGAGACAATTAGAAATTTAAATTTACAAAGAGAAAAAGGCCAGCCCAAACCTTAGTTAGAAAACTATGTGCTTAAAGTGTCAGCCTTTCCTGGCCTCAGACACATAATCTTGCTTTAGCTTTCCACAAATTGGGATTACTGGCATGTGCCAGCATGCCTGGATTTTCAAACATTTTTTTGGTCCTAGGTATAGAACCTAGGGCCTCACACACTTGGGAAGCATCTACCACTGAGCTCCATCTCCAGCAACTTCTTCTGTTTTCTTTTAGATATGATATTGCTAAGTTTCCCAGACTGGCCTTAAACTCACTCCTCCTGCAGTAGCCTCCAGTAGCTGGGATCACAGGCCTGTCAGTTCCATCAAGGGCAATATTATTAAATGATGGACAGAGCACATATTATATCTTTGTTTAAAATTGACCCATAAACTTTGGCAACTCTCATTGGGCAATTTAGGCAGCATCTACGAGTATGAGTAAGATTAATTATTGTAATACAAACCAATTTGAAAATTGGTTTTTAAATTGAGCCATAATATATAAAATCTTATGATAATGTACAAATCTGACTATATTCAAGTGCAGTTTTCTTACCCATACCAATTGTCTTGTAATAATTGAGAATGCATCCTCTGTGTGGTGTTTGCAAGTTAATACTATTTGGAAATCACACTGGTATACTTGTGGCTTCCCTGGGTGCATGTGGTTCATTATTGATCATAATGTTATTTTGGAATTTTAGTCTAAGTAGGTGGGGTAAGCTCCTTTCAGACTTTTAATTGTTGGAGGAGTTTTGGTGGAGGATTGGGTCTATGAATGAGAAGGAGCATTAGAATTAACACAAATGAGGCTCAGGTAATAATTCATCAATTGGTAACAGTAGCATAGATTCTTACTGACAACAGAGGAGACTGTAATTCATGGGAGAGCTGCTTTCAGAAAACCAAGAAGCTCTCACAAATACAAATATATATGTGCGTTGTGATGAGAAAGAAGAGTCCTGTGTCTGTAAATAAATGAAAGGGTATTGGCTGAGTTCTAGACCCAGCAGTACCTACTGTGTGCACTGTGCAGCTGCAGTATGGCTGAGGTGTGTTGAGTACCTGCCTCTTCTGACAAGCTGTCTTCCAGTGCTTGCTGCATTTCCGTCCATCCCTTCCCTTTCTTTCTATGTACTCTCTTACATACCTTCTTCACTTTTTTACCTCTCATACATATCTCCCAGATTGAAATCCTCTTTCAGAATGACACTTTTTTTAGAAAAAAAAATGCATTGACCACACTTAATAAATATACCATGTCTCTAAAGGATAGCACAATAGTAAGCTTTAACAATGAGCTTCTTTATATTAGGAATCTTTAGTATATAGTGACTTCATGCTGATGGAATGCTGCAAGTCTATAATAAGTGCCATGAAAGAGAGGGGTTTTCTTCCTTTCATTCCTTCTGATACCAGCTTGCTAATAACCCTGGCTGTCTCTCATGGTGGCTCGCATGGTATGCACTGTGTAAACTCAACCTGATGATGAACTGCTGGCAGTCATCCTACCTCAGCCTCTTTAAACCCAGCTAAGAAAGGAATGCTTTTTAAAAAAGATTTATTTATTTACTTACTTTACATCCCAGTATCAGCCCCTCTCCTCCTCCCATAAAGGGATTTTTATTTATTTATTTTTAAGTCTGATGCTATAGCTCAGTGACAGTGCTTATCTACCATGTGTAAAGTTCTGCTTTCAGCATGAGTGGTATCAAAAGGGGGCAAAGAATTTCTTTTTATCCATTGTTATATCTGGTGCTCAGAACAAGAAAGACATTCAGTAAATACTTACTGAATAAATTGTTAAACATTAGCCTTAAGAAAAACTTATGTATGTAATTTACTTATGAAAATGATTTCAGTGAAGCTTTGTTTGTGTCTCACTATGTAGCCTTAGCTTGCCTTCAGTTCAATAACTAGACCAGTTTAGCTAGGAGGAAAGGTGTGAGTCACTATTGCTGGCTGCAGTGAGGCAGTCTTTCGTTTTGTAATTAAGTTTTTGAAATTTTATTTTTATTTTGTGTGTATGGATATTTTATGTGCATGCATGTCTGCGCACCATGTGCCTGTGGGGGCTAGAAGAGGGCATCCGATTCTCTGTGACTGAAGCTATAGTTATGTGGGTTCTAGGAATTGAGCTCCAGTCTTTTGGAAGAGTTGCCGGTACTCTTTTTTTTTTTTTTGGTTTTTCGAGACAGGGTTTCTCTGTGTAGCCCTGGCTGTCCTGGAACTCACGCTGTAGACCAGGCTAGCCTCGAACTCTCGAACTCAGAAATCCGCCTGCCTCTGCCTCCCAAGTGCTGGGATTAAAGGCGTGCGCCACCACCGCCCGGCTGAGTTGCCGGTACTCTTAATGGCTGTGCCATCTCTCCAGCCCCAGTAAAGAAAGCATTTGTGGTTCCTTAGTACAGGGCAGGGATTCTCAAAGTGACAGAAACTTTAAATACTCCTCTTAACTGTCCCCTTTGTTCTGTTGCTCTTCTTCCAGTACAAGTATTTCAGGTTCAGATGAGCTGAAAAAGACTAAAATTAGTAAATATAGTACCCAGGAGACACAGAGGTAAATGGCAGGTGTAGATGGCAGGAATAAAGAGCACGGGACTTCCAAATGTACATGTGTTAGGGCTCAGAGAAGCATCTGAGTAGAGTATCAAAGCAGTTACATAGCTAGAGTGCCAGAGCCAACCAGAAGAATAGAGAAGGTGGATTGATAAAGGCAGAGAGAGGAAATCAGACGGATAGCGTGCTTGAGGGTCATACAGCCAGTAGAGGAAGCATATGAACTGCATAATGTGACACTGAAAACAACATTCAGCTGCTGTGTGTAAAATGGGTTGTAGCTTGAGGTAAAGAGATTGGAGCAGTGAGTGAAAGGGACTCACCACTGTCCCAGCTCTGGCGATAGCACTGCTTGGCTTGTGCTGTCTAGTGACGCCTTTAGATCCCCTTTGAAGTCCCCCATCCCGATTTTTTATTCGGGGATGCTGACAGCAGGAGAAAGAGCTCCAGGAAGTAGGAATGGATTCTAGTTCCCAGTTACTGTCCTATTTCCTAAGTTCCTGAGCATGAGTAGACGAGTCCGTACCTGTAAAATGAGGACAGTGACCTGTAAGCAGGAGTCTAGACTGGAGTCCTTAGCAACTGTTATCCTCGTATGAGTTATAGACAGTGTGGGTAGGAAATACTACATTTTGTATCTCATTATTGACATCTACCAATTATTTAAAGAAGTAAAGAACCAGAACATTAGCTCATATTCTGTAAAATTGTATTTCTTGTGAAAATGACATTCTATTTTAAAATATGTATTCATTGAGTATGGATGGGTCTTTACTAGTTTAGCTGTTATTAAGGTATCAGAGTGCTCAAGCTAATGAACAAAACTTCATCCTGGAGTATTTTTAGAGAAACACGAAGAATAGAGTTTACTCTGTCATATGTATATTTTACAGAACTAAGCAGAGCTCAGGGAGATGGTTCAGTCAGTAATGTGCCTGCCAGGGCATATGATGGGCCCTTGTAAGGCAGACCGGAAGCTGCTCAGCCAGCCTAGTCTAATGAGCAAGTCCCAGGTTCCAGTGAGAGACTTCATCTCAAAAAACACGGTGGGTGGCTCCTGAGGAATACCACCTGAGGTTACACCACACACGCACGCACACACGCACGCATCCCACACACATCTGCAAACTACCCCTCCTCCTCCAGCCTCAAAACACAATAATTCTAACAGTGTTTCGTGTTATTAGAATTGGTACTTTTTGGGCTATGGCATGCACTCTGTTCTATCCCATCCTTTTCTTGCTGGAGGTTTTAGTGCCACAACTCTCAGGCTCCCTACTCTTCTTCCCCTGTTGTTTTGTTTCTCTTTGGATTGTTTCTTGCCCTACCCATTTAATCTATCTGGAAAGATGAAGAGCAGCTGCTATGGTTAACTGTGCACTGTGGTTAATGAATAACAGACTAACAGGACACATAAAGCATATGCAAACTGTGCAGAGTTAGTTGCTATCAGGACCTAGGGATACAATGCTTTTTCTTTTCTTTTTTAAAAACATTCTCCTGTGAGATTTTGTTTCTTAATTTACCATTTTTAATATTGTAATGCTACCACAAAGTTCTCTTTTCTGCTTAGTCTGTATAATATTTCTTTCACTTTATGATGAGTCTAAAGAAGATGGTTAAGGTCCAAAAAGGAAATGAACCAATCCATTATATTTAAGAAGTAGGTTTCCTAGTTCAGGTGTATTTATTCATAGAAAAATAGGAATAGAAATTTATGACATGTTTGGTTTTTGGACCTGTAATGTTTTGTCTCTTGCTTTTTGGTTACTAGTGTTCCTTTTTGAGTTTCTCTGGGATTGGAACCACCATGTACTATTTTCTCCCACATGCTGGGAGGGCAGAGGTAGGCAGAGCCTGGGCCATCTAGAGAGCTCCAGGCCAGCTAAGGCTACATAGTAAGACTGCATCTTACCCCCTTGCCAGTGTTTCTGTCATAAAGGCCAGCTACAACTTGAATATTGCATTCAACCAACCCTTGAAAATTTCTGTAATCTGTGCCATCCTGTCTCATACTGTCCCATTTCATAGTTGTCCTCTCTCTGCAGTGCTCTATGCCCAGGTCTCTGTGGCTGGGCTGCTCCAGCCTGGCGGACAGCATGCCTTCGCTGCGATGCCTGTATAACCCAGGGACTGGCGCACTCACAGCTTTCCAGGTACTTTCTCTGTCTCTGTGGGTTATTGGTGGGGGGTATGTCATTAGTGTGTCCCTCCTTCTCTCCTATACTTTACTTACATCCACCTCTTCTCCTTTATAGTGCCTGTACTTCACATCACTCAGTAGCTCTTCAGGGACTTTTAATGTAGACCCAGACTTACTGACTTTTAAATGTCTTTGTAATTGTTTTGTCGAAATGGATATAGCACAGTTGGAGCAATGGTTTTCAGATCTTGTACAGATACTAATTTTTAAAATAAAATAGCAATTCAGAACATAGTGTTTGCTGTGGATCTACATAAAATCAAATCAAGTAATTAGTTAATCGAAATCAGATACACAAACATCTTATGTTTTTGTTATGATTACTACTATGTTCAGAATGCCTGGGTTACTATGCTACTATCATGTGTGTATGCATACATACACATTTATGTTTGCAGTACAGATTAAGAACTATGTGTTACTTGTATCCTAAAGAGTTTCTTGTTTCAGAATGGGAAAGCTGTAAATACAGTTTCCATTTTGAAGTACTCTAGTCTTACATTTTTTGATGGATTCTAGCTCCTCTCAGTCTTCCTTAGAGGTCAAGAGGTCATTTTCATGGTGTAAGAGAAGCTGTAGAAGAATCGAATGGAACTTTGTAGAGGAAAATGAAAGAAAAGAACTTGATGCCCATAGCTTATGGAGTAGTGGGTGTTTGTTATGCATAATTGTTTTTGGCAGAAGTGTTGTCTATCTACTTAAGGTATTTGGTATTTGTGTTTAGCTTTTATAATATTAAAAAATTGCCCCTTTCCCCCTTTAGGTATATTGTATTTTACTTTATTTATGTGAATGTGTGTGCAGGTGTCCAACGAGGCCAGAGGGGTATGGGATTCCCTGGAGCTATTGTGTACAGGCAGTTGTGAACCACAAACATGGCTTCTGGGGCCCAAACTCACTCACATCCTTTCGAAAGAGTATTAAGCTCTCCAGCTCCTCAAAGTTTGTTTTTAATGTGCACGTGTGCTCATGCGCAAGAGTGAGCCACATGGCCAGCTATTTGCCAGGTTGTTTTTTAACCTGTGCAATTTATTATCTGTTTAGAGAAATTTCACAGACAAGTTGTAACAAATATGAAAATATCCATAATTAAGTCTGGAAGAACGGAATTAAGTGCTGACAGTTACCAGTCTTCAGCAATACTATGTTGATGATGCTTTCATTTTCCTTTGTACAGTTTAATGTTCATCTTCCTTTGTTTATACTCAAAAACAGTAAAGCATGTTGACTCTAAAAGGTAAATTGTTTCCAATACTTTGTTGCTCACTGTTTCAACTTGGAGTTTTTATTGCTGTGAAGAGAGATTATGACCATAGCAACTCTTATAATGGAAAACAGTTGGTTGGAGCTGGCTTACAGTTGAAAGCGTCGTATGGTGGGAGGCATGGCAGCACATGAGCAGACATGGTGCTGCCTGGGTGTAGTCGAGAGTCCTACATGCGGAGCAGTAGGGAACAGGAAGAAAGAGTGACTCTGGGCCCAGCTTGAGCTCCTGAAACCTCAAAGCCCACCTCAGTGACACACTTCCTCCAACAAGGCCACACCTACCCCACCAGAGCCACACCTCCTAATAGAGCCGTTCCCGGGGGGGGGGGGGGGCATTTTGATTCAGACCACATAGTCACTAGTACTGTGATCTTGAACAAATTGTTTTACTCTCATGCTTATTTCCCACATCTGTTACATGGTGACTGTAGACATGAATGGACATATGGTAATAATTGCTGCTTTGATTACTGTTGTATGCATTGCTGCTTTGAGAGAGTATATCATATCCTGAGAGTATTAGTTCACCCCAGAGTGAATTGTCTTGTTAAGATGGTTTTTTTCGTTTTGTTTTGTTTTAAATCAATGTATCCTGCTTAGGAAGGTACTGACTTCAAGAACTCAGAGTTCTTTGTTTTGTTATTGTTTTGTTTGAGACAGAATGTCACTTTATAACCCAGGCAGGCCTGAAACTCTAGAATTATAGGTGCGTTTGACCAATCCCTGCTACCCTCTTGGTTTTTAGTTAGTTGCACTGAGATAAACTGTCTGTAAAGACTCAGAATATAGGATCATCAAAGTTGTCCTTACTTTATTTAGGCATATTCGCTCTCAGGATTAGTAATGTGTTTGAAAGTATTCAAAGACCTTACTGAAAGCAGTGATGCAGATTATTAACAGGGAAAGGATACATGTTAAACCTAGCCAAAGAGATATCCATGGGCCAGAGAAGATGGCTCAGCGGATAAGATTGGTGACCTGAGTTCAATCTCTGGATTCCACAAAATGACAGGAAAGAATTTACCCTCCAAGGACTTGGATGAATTCTCTCTTCACTTTGACTCACCTCTCCTTTCCTTTCCTCTCATATCCTCCAGTGTCCCCTCCCCTTTTGCGCACTTGAACACACACACACACTCATACACACTCACTCACAGGACACAACAGTTGAAAACTAGAGCAAAAATGGTAACCTTACTGAGAACAAGCTGGGGAAGCTACTGATCACCTCATCATGTAGGACTCGGGTATGAGCAGTGAGGTGCTGGAAGGGTTGAGCACAAGGTGTTCATCACTGTGGCTCATCTCAGAAAGTGAACATTTCTCTTGGTCAGCTTTCTGTTTGTCTACCTCCAAAGTTCTGACATTACAGGCCTGTGCCACCATGCCTAGCAGTTTTACTAATTTAGAGTGAGGACAGTTTGCACTCTTTAAAAATTACTGAGGAACCCTAAACTAACTTTCTGCATGTGGCTTATTTCTACTGATATTTACTGTATTTGAAATGAGAATAAAGAAAATATTATTATGTAAAATAATGATACTAACTCTCCAGGATGGGGAAGTTTCAGCAGTCTAGAGGTGGAGGCAGGAAGATCCATGAGTGGAAGGTCAGTCTGGCTACATAACAAGTTTGAAGCCAGCCTGGCCTACATGGATTCCCCCATAATAGCAGCAGTAACAGAAAAAAAAAAAAACAAAACCCTGTGTCACATAAATAGGACATTTTAAATGAAAACTGTATTTAAAACATTAATACTGGCATTGTTTCATTTTTATACATCTAGCATCTGGAGTAATTAAAGGCAGATGAATTTTCTTTTTCTTTTTTTTTTTTTTTTAGTTTTTTTCAAGACAGGGTTTCTCTGTGTAGCTCTGGCTGTCCTGGAACTCACTCTGTAGACCAGACTGGCCTCAAACTCAGAAATCCGCCTGCCTCTGCCTCCCAAGTGCTAGCATTAAAGGTGTGCACCACCACTGCCCGGCGTGATGAATTTTCATATACACTTCTGCATTCATTGTTATTTAAAGCATAGGAAGACTGTCTTGCCTATATAGAGATACAAAGTTTAAAAAAGAGGTGCCAGGCTTGATGGTACCTGTACATAACCTTAGCACTCGAGAATCAGTTGTATTATGAGTTGGGGGCTAGCCTAAGGCCATATAGCAAGTTTGAGACTGGTCTGCAATACATGAGATCTTGTCTAAAAAATATTTATATGAGTGTGTGTGTGTGCGCATGTTTCGTGTGTGTTTAAACCTTCTGACTTTGATATCAGAGTACCAAGAAAAATTCAAGTTTTTATTTCTCCTAAAACAACTCTGAATTAAAGTAGCAAATAATTCTGAGCCAATTCACCACCATAACCTTTTCTAGTTTTAATTAACAGTCAAATAGTACTTTTAAGAAGCTGAACACACACCGGGCAGTGGTGGCGCACGCCTTTAATGCCAGCACTTGGGAGGCAGAGGCAGGCAGATTTCTGAGTTTGAGGCCAGCCTGGTCTACAGAGTTCCAGGATAGCCAGGGCTATACAGGAAAATCCTATCTCGAAAAACCAAAAAAAAAAAAAAAAAAAAAAAAAAAGCTGGACACTCTTTCTATATGTTCCTACTCTGGAATTTATTTGAAGGAAAGCTTGGGCTGGTGAGATGGCTCAGCGGTTAAGAGCACTGCTCTTCCGGAAGTCCTGAGTTCAAATCCCAGCAATCATCTGTAATGCCATCCAATTTCCTCTTCTGGTGAGTCTGAAGACGGCGACAGTGTACTCATATACATAAAATAAATAATTCTAAAAAAAAAATTAGAAAAAAAAGGAAAACTTATTTTTTATTTTTTTTTTTTTTTTATGTGTATGAGTGTTTTGCCAGCATGTGGATGCTGGGAACCAAACTTGGGTCCTTTGCAAGAGCAGTAAGTGCTTTTAACTTCCAAGCCATTTTTCCAGCCCTATGCAGAGATTTTATTGGAAAATTAAGGAATAAATTGAGCAAGTTGGCTGTTGATGACATCACAGTAGTCAAATTGTTTAAGCAGAAAGGGAGCTACTTATAAGGCAGGAAGGAAAGGAAGCCTTGAGGTTAGGTTGTAGGATGGGGACTAGGGCCCTGGGGCAAGATTTCCTAGAATCTGAGCTGGCTCTGTCCTTTTTTTTTTTTTTTTTTTTTTTTTAAGATTTATTTATTTATTATATATGAATACACTGTAGCTGTCTTCAGACACACCAGAAGAGGGCATCAGATCTCATTACAAATGGTTGTAAGCCACCATGTGGTTGCTGGGATTTGAACTCAGGACCTCTGGAAGTGCAGTCAGTGCTCTTAACCACTGAGCCATCTCTCCAGCCCCTGGCTCTGTTCTTAACTACTGAGCAATCTTTCTAGCTTGAATCTTTCTCTTCTAAGGGGCTCATTAGTGGGCCAGAGATGTAACTCAGCTTGTATAATGTTTGTTTATTATGCATGAGATTTAGTTCTTGATCTCCTACATTTCATAAACTAGATGTGATGACACATGCCTGTAATTCCAGAAATGACCAGAAATTCAAGGTCATCCCCAGCTACATAGCAAGTTTGAGATCAGCTTGGTATATATGAGACTCTGTCAATGATGATGATGATAATAATAATAATAATAATAATAATTAAAAAATTTTCTTGCCCATGCTACAGCTAGCAGCTGATGTT